CGAGATGGGAATCTTTAAGGAAATACCGTCTTCTTCGAGATTTTCGAGTTTTGAATCAAAGCAAGACAAAGAAAAGTTGTCAAAATCAGAGATTACACCGTTTTCACACATCCCTACTATCCGTACCAGGTCCATGAGTGACCGGTTGAGCATGGAAACAAGCTTTCTTAGTTCTGGTTCTTTCTCGCCGGACTCGGTCCTCTTCTCCCCGAAGCTCCATCCAGTTCTTTCTGGCAAGGAAATTACAGAGGAAAACCTAGAAAGAAGCCGAGCAATCGAAGAAATTACACATAGGAAGAAGATGGCTTCTAGGAGGAGAAGTATGAAAATGAAAAAGTGGGCGAGCAAGAGTTTGTCAGAGTTGGAATTCGAAGAGCTAAAAGGGTTTATGGATTTGGGGTTCGTTTTCACCGAGGAAGATAACAATGACTCTAGATTGGTCGAGATTGTTCCGGGATTGCAGAGACTGGGGAAGAAAGAGGATGAAATTAAACAGAGTGGAAAGGAAGGAGGAGCTGCAGTCTCTAGGCCTTATCTATCAGAAGCATGGGAAGTAGAGGACCGAAAAAGGAAGGAGAAGGCATTGATGGATTGGAGTGTCCTTGATTTGAGCAATGAGATTAACATGAAAGATAATCTCAGATGTTGGGCTCACACTGTTGCATCCACAGTTAGATGAAAGATTGAATTCTGAATTTTTCTAGGGTTGATTACTTAGATTCTCTCTTTTTTTTCCTTTGTATTTCCACGGTAATTTTGTTTTTGGCAAATCTTTGGGTTTGTTTCGTTCTCTTTTGTTTCGGTTTATTGTCACTGTGAAAATGTGAATAGTTAGATATGGCTAGCATTTTATTTTCATCGACATAGGAAAGGTTTCAATATATGGGGATAAGTTGAATATTTAAAAACAATTTTTTTTTAACTCACCAGTTTTTTATGATATTAAACCTTTTTTTTATCTAAAAATCTTATAAAATATATTTGGTTTGAGATAAATAGAGAGTTTGGATTGAGAAAATTTTCTTTTATCTAGTTACTAAATTTTTTTTAATGATATTAAAGTGTTTTTGAAGAGAAGAAAAGAAAAGAAACTTTTTTATTTTATTTTTAACTTTCAATCCCTTTCTTCGATTTAAGCTATTTAAATGAGTGAAGCTCTGAGGGTGTGAGGGAATGGAAGGGATGGGAAGCCTCGCCTCCCCTCTATCCAACGATACTCTTCTCAACTCTTAAGAAAAAGAAATTAAGTCTCAATTTTAAATAATGTAATTTCATTTAATTAAAATTTAAATTAAATTTTAAAAATTTATTTTATTAAATATTGATATATAGATTTGGGAGTCGATTATATTAGAATAAGAAAATGATTAGTATACACTTGATTCAACATATTTTTTGATACACTACTAGTTTAACTATCAAAAATATAATATAAATACAATTGATTTAATTAATTCTTGCATCTCATGTATAATTGTATTTTTAAATTTATTTGTTTTTAATTTCAGATCAAAAAATAGTGATTTTTTAATAAATATGTTAATGATTTTTTAATAAATATATTATGTAATGTATTGAACCAAGTGTGTATGAATTACTGTTCTTAATTAAATGAAAGACGTCTGTTTAAAGTTAAAACTTCAATTTTTTTTTAGGAGTTCATATTGATATATACTTTTCTCATATATAAAGGTTAGTACACATCAATCCTAGCTCTAAAAAACAATTTGAGTCTCAACCTATATTTAGAAACTGAAATCTCATCTTATTAAATGTTAATATCTAAATATGAAAACTCATTATATATTCTAATATAATCAATTTTCAAATCTAAATATCAAATAATTTTAAAAATTTTGAATTGAATTTTAATTAAATAAAACAACACAACTTAAGGTTGGGACTCCATTTTATTTTAGGTATTTTGGAAATCAAGATTGAGATGCATTTTTTCCATATATATATATATATATATAGAGGTTAATGTGTATCACACTTACTCCTAAAAAACTGAAGTCCCAACATATATTTAGAAATTGAAATCTCAATTCAAAATTCAAAAATCCACTCAGTTAAATGTTAATATCTAAATTTAAAAACCGATTATCTATTCTAATATAATCAATTTCCAAATCTAAATATCAATATTTAATAAGATAGATTTTTAAATTTTGAATTGAGTTTTAATTAAATAAAACAACGTAATTTAATATTAAAATTTCAATTTATTTTAAAAATCAAAACTAATATGCATTTTTCATATATATATATATGAGTTTAGTATTTATAAGTTGACACTTGTTCTCATTAAAGAATTGTAGGAAAAGATTACAACAATCTCATTTTTGGTTCAAAAATATGTTATTTAATATTTTATAATGTGGTTTAATGAAATGGAAAATCATTTTATTATCTGAATTGTGTTAAATTACAAAATAATAATCCTTAGATTGATAGAGAGCCCTGATATTGAGCCCTTCTTCTCCATCCAAGGGTCTATGTTTTACAGTTCGATATAATTTAGACTATAAAATAAGAAACTTTTAATAAAATAATATAGTTTTTAAATAGTTTTCTTCTTAATTTTTTAAATATCTTATTGATATATATTGCTTGGTTTTTTCTATGGTTTTTTATTAAAATAATATGATTTTAAAAAAAAGATTTATGATTAATAAACATTAATTTCGTGTATAAACCAATCAAATAGATTGGAAATTAACAAACAACTCCTTGAGTATGATTTCAAATATAATTGTTTTGTATAATATGTAGTGACATTAAACAATGGGTAAACAGAAAAACAGGTCGACTTACAAAAAAAAATTACAAGTCGACCTTATTAAAATGATACGATTTATAATAATCCCTTCTTTTCTTTTTCTCTTCTCTTGATTGGAGCCCCACCGCTGTAAAATCCTCGTTGCCAAAGTCCATCACTGCAAAATCTTTGTTATCAGAGCCTCATCGACATCATCGAAGGTTGCAACTGTTTTATAGAGTCGTGGTCATAATTTTTTTGGGGAATTTATATTCATCTCAGTTTCCATTGATTTATCAAAATTGATTTGAATTTTTTTTTTTTCCAAAACCCATAGTTACATATGATTCTAATTCTAAATGTTTGTTTTTTTTCTTTTGAAAAATATTAGATATATCTTTCAGTTTAATACATTTATTAAAAAATTATTATTTTAAAATTTGAATTTATGGTGATAAAATTTTTGAAAATAAATTTTAATTGTTGAACTATAATATATTGTGCAATGTGTTGAATCAGATGATATACTAATAATTGTTTTTTTTTTTTTTTTTGTTGCTTGATGGCATCTTCTTTAGTTTCTCCATCTATATTTAAGGAATTTGAGATTAGATAAACTATAGATGTGATTAGGTTATTGAATGGATGGAGTAGTTTGATGGATTTGAGGATATAGCAAAAGATTTTATGCCAACTAACGGTAATCTTAATTATGCAAATGAAGAAAAGCCTAATGAGAATTTGCAGTCATGAAAAATAGGTGCAACGAGGATTTTGTAGTGATGGGACTCCAGTCAAGACAAGAGGAAAGGGGAAAAGAGATTTCTAATTCAGGAAGGAGGGGTTAAAATTCTCCCTTTTATAAATGATCTCATTTTAATAAGATCAACTTGTGATTTTTTTACACGTCGACCTGTCTTTTCATTTATTCTAAACAATATGTATAATTAACTTTTTATCCGTAAGTATAATTTTAATGTGACATTTAAATAAAAAATTAATTATAAAATAATACATCATATTATACAAGTTATTAGACTTTTACTTTAATATGTTTGGGTTAAAATGAATAAAAAGTAGGGAAATTGATCCTTCAATAAAATAAATAAATGAATTTAAAATTTTTTTTTAAAAAAAAAGATTTTCTTCCCCTCCTTTTTCCTCTAACCCTTTTGATAATTAAATAGAATTTTTTTTTCTTCTCCATTTCCATCAGCTCAACTCAACTCAAATCATTATACATCAATTGAATCGAGGCTTTGAAATCTGATAGTCGATTCTCAAATCCTAATACTTGAGTAAAGTTGATTAAAATTTTAAATTTTATTAACTATTTAAGTACCCACTTAGTGTGAATTAAGTTTTTAATAAAAATTTTATTGGAAAGAAACTATTGTAAAAATGTTGTTTTTATAAATAGAAAAAAATAAAAATAAATAGAAATAATGTGTAATTTTCATTAAAATTTAAGTAAAAAACTCAAGCAGAAACATCAATTCAGTATTTTTTAGATTTGTAATGAAATGAACAAAAAACTAACCTATAAAAAGTTGTAATATTTTTAATAAATTATAATGTTTGAAACAATTAAAACTTTTAAAATCTAAAATAACTTATCACCAACTATACCAAATATAACTTAAATAATATAACCTAAATATTTATCCTTACCTTGCAAGCCATTGGTGATTCTCCTTCCACGGACTGTCTCATTTCCCCTTTCTCTTATAATTGCTTTCATAAAAAAAGAAAAAAAAAAAAAAGTCATCATGCATCAATCATTTAAAAAAAATAATTAATTAATTAAAAAAAGAGATGACTTTCTTGGCTAATAAAGAAAAAACAAGGGCTAGTTTGGTATTTCACAGCGCAAATGATTAGACTGCTTAATAATCTCCTTTTAAATACGATTTTCTTCCGTTTACGTTGTTTTATAAAGTCTTCTTCTTCCTCCTCTCCTTCTCATTCTAGGTCTTCCATGGATGTTTTACAGAGCTTGGATGCTCTGTGGTTCTTCCACAATGTACTCGCACCAAAAACACAGCAAATCGCTCCAGTTACTGACGAAACGATAAAAGAATCAGAAAATTTATCAAAACTGACCGACCAAATTCTTGAGAATCTGCAAAAAGAATCTCCAGAGAGGGTGCAACAGCCGAATTCCTGTGAAATCGAAGCCGAAATTTCTGCTGAAATTAACCCGGAGATAGTGCAGCATCCAAAATCCAGCAAAATAGAGGTCAAAGTTGCGGCTGAACTTGAGCCGGAGATATTGCGGTCCCCTGTTAATGGGATGGAATTCAAAACGCCGGCGGCTACAGAAAAGTTGACAGAGAGGAGGAAAAGGACGACGAGGAGGAGCAGAATCCGGAGAAAGACAATCGGCGAGCTGAATTTGTCTTCTCGTGAAACCTCCTTGGTCTCCCCTTGCTTTCCAGAGTATTGGTATTGGTACGGGAATGGCGGATATCAAAGGCAAGGTCTGTTGAATCATGGTATAGGCTTGAACACTCACCACATGAAATGCGTTTATGCAGTAGCCTGTAGGCCCTGTACCGTCGAATAATATGCTCTGTTTTTGCTATGTAAACATATATCCATGGCAGGCAGGCAAAAAAAAAAAAAAAAAAAGCCCTGTACCGTCGAATAATATGCTCTGTTTTTGCTATGTAAACATATATCCATGGCAGGCAGGCAAAAAAAAAAAAAAAAGCAGTAGGACGTAGAGCCCTCTTTTGTGAAAGAATGCAGAATGCAGATCTTAGTTTTGAATGATGCTTCTTTGATTTTGAGACTGCTAATGAATCCGGGAATTGATATTTCAACCTTCTCATAATTTTCTTTTGGTTTGTTTGCAGATAGATTATATGAAGAGTTCAAAGTTAGAATAAATGCTTTGGACTATGCAAGATTGAACATCTTGAACAGGAAATAACCCACATGACTATCCTGACATGATTCAGGTTCAACATCTATCTTTTAGCTAATTGGGTATCTTAGTGTAGTGTTGGCAGAAAAAAATTTCTTCTGCAATGTTATCTGACTTTCAGAAAGGTTGAAATGCTACTTATGTTTAAAATTCCTGCTTCTCTATTTAGGAAGGTTAAGTGACTAAAAGCTACATTAATCTAGTAAAAGATTGGACAGCAAGACTACTAGATTTACATCTGGATAAGAGAAACATGTTAATTACTCAGAGAATTGAATTTACAAATTTATGATTCAGGAAGCGTTTCTGTTTTCCTTTTCCAAGTTGTCATCCCTTTCTTTTTACCTCTCTTTGGATTAGTTAAACTCAAACATTATATATCAGCTACCAATTCATTTGCATCTAGGGAATTTTCCTCTATAAAACCTTAAATTTGACTATTTAATTTAAACATGGGCTGTCACATTTTCCTTTTCAGGTTTTCCTCGGAAATGGTGGTGGCAGTGACATCGAGAGGAATGAGCTTCCCTTTACTGGTTTCTGTCTACTCAAACCAGAAAAAGGCTGGTGCTGAAAAGGCTTTGGTCCCCGTGTAGATAGGTTAGGATTAGCATAACTGATTTGAATACTTCCCAATCCCATTTGGAACTTACGAGGAAAGTCTACATGTAGGTGAGGCTGTCTGCAATTCTGGCAAATTCTTAACTTTGATTGTGACCGCCAGGTTAACAATAGCAAGGCAGTACTTGAGCCAAATTCGCCACAATGTTGTTTTATTGTCAGTGCTGTCGGCCGCATTGTTCTCCCTTGTGTAGTTGTGTGGATCAGAATTAATCATTCGCGAGCCAAACTGACCAGTACAAAAATTATAAATGGGACTTAAATCCGGAGGCTTAGTGGTTGAAATAACGCTATTATTAAAGTAAAAAGCTTTTACACCCTTACAATAACAGGAGTTTTAACTTGTAATCCCCACTTTATCACTCTATTCTTACAAGTTTGAATTATTTGCTCTAATACATTAAAAAGAATTAAGGCTTAATCGGAACAAATGACATCATTGAGGTGTCAATACTTTTTTTGAAAAAAAAAAAAAAGTACTGCTGGTAAAATTGGAAAGAGGTGCATTCGTGCAAATAAAGCCAAATCCATATCTGTAAACCAACCACTCCTTACTTCTTTGTCTCTTGTTCCTCTCGTTGCTTCACTGCAAGTTCCAATCCACACCTCCTGTAGTCATGAAACCACCACCTGCATTCCTCCTGCTACTCCTAGCCTGCCTCTACTCTAGGACTGCTACATCCGTCCCCGCCGCCGCCAATACCACTAAACCCGCAATAACCCCCACTTCCTCCCCAACCCCACCCAGTACCAATCGTTCTTCCTCCTCTGCCGCTACTTTAGACCCAAAAGAACTAGAAGCTCTGCAGTCCCTCAATATCCCCACCACAAAGGACCCCTGCATTCAGCCGTCTCCCCACAACGCCACCATCTGCGACTCCTCCAAGCCCTTCCGCCACCTCGTCTCCCTTCAACTTTCTAACTGTTCCTCTGACCTTTCCCTGTCCTTCTCTGCCCTCAAATCCCTCTCTTCTCTTCGTTCCCTCTCCTTCACCGACTGCCATGTTCCCCCCATTCGTTTCCCTTCCGATCTCGCACTCTCTCTGACTTCCTTTTCCTGCGTTCGCTCTCTCCGCCACCTCTCCGGTATCTGGCTCTCCCGCTTCGAGAACCTCACAGATCTCACCGTCTCCCACACACCCGTCAACACCAGTGGCCTTCATGTGATTCTCGGAAACATGCGTAAATTAAAGTCTCTCACCATTTCTCATGCTAATCTTACTGGCTATCTTCCGGGACACCTTCATTTTAATCTTTCGTACATTGATTTATCTGATAATCAGATCAGGGGAAAGATACCCACCTCACTTACTCTGCTCGAGAAACTTGAATTCTTGAATCTTTCCTCAAATGGGTTAAATGGTGAGATACCCACTGAGTTTGGTGATCTGATAACGCTAAAAAATGTGTCTTTGGCTTCCAATTCGTTTTCTGGGTCGATACCAGATTCAATGTCGGCAATTCCCGGTCTGGTTCATGTTGATCTGAGTAGGAATCAGTTGAACGGAACTGTGCCGGAGTTCTTCTCCAACATGAAGAGATTGAGAGTCTTGAATCTTGAGAAGAACGCACTTCATGGGGTTTTGCCATTCAATGCTAGTTTCATCAAGAGATTGGCTGTGTTCAAGATTGGGGGAAATACAAACTTATGTTACAACCACACTGTTTTTTCATCAAAAGTGAAGCTTGGCATTGCTCCTTGTGACAAACATGGGTTGCCGATGTCGCCACCACCGGCCAAGGATGTGTCTTCCAGTGATGGTAGTGAGAATGACTCATCAGACTATGATGACAGTGCAAATGGCTCAAGTCATAAGGAGCATCACCATGGCCCAAGTAAGGTTGTTGTTGGTGTGGCAATTGGGATAGCTTCTATAGTGTTTCTCATTATCTTCTTGATTCTTCTCTCAAAATGGTGTGGATAAAAGCTTGAAGGAATCATTGCCAAAGTGGGTTAGATTACTTTTCAATTATTGGGGGAAATTGGTAATTAGAAATGAATTTTGATTAATTCATTATTGATACACTTGGTTTTTGGTAATGAAGAGGGGCGGTTGTAGAGGGAAAATTTTTGCTGCTTTTGATCACGGCATTGTTTCCATTTTAGAGTGTAATAATGTTATAGAATGCAAGACTGGTTGATTTCTAAACTGTTATTCTAAATTGTGTAATTTTCTTCAGCACCAAGCATTGACTTTTCAGCACTTTTTCATAAATTATCCCATCTATCCATTCCTCTATGCTTATAAATCAATGTTTTGGTTCTCATTTAGTTGTTTTTGGTCAATTATGTTGAGACCAAAGTCCATTTTGTTGAGTTCAGAAGAACTAAACAAAATGCCTGGCAACTGAAATGGCTCGAAAAAATAAGATTATGAAATTGAAAGTATTTCAAGGAAACAGTGGAAATGAATAGCAAAAAGGATAAAAATTAAAGTCACTTATATTAGAAAATGTTACATGAACTCGGGATTAAATGTTAAGCTGAGTGAGTTTGTCTCTAATATAAATATTTTCGATTTTCTGTTCGTCCTTTATTCTGAAAAATCGAAAGGGTTTGTTAGGAGTGAAGAGTCCGTGTAACGTGGCAGAGGAATAAAGTTTTATATTTATTTTAGAATGTAATTTGCTAGATCATGGCTTTTCTCCCCAGCCCCGTATATTTTTTGCTACAAATTGGTGTCAACGCATTGTTTCTCATTTTCTCCCCATACCTTCAGCTTTGATCCAAAGTCCTGAATAGTTGGATTGTCTGTTAACCTTTAATAACTGTAGATTCTTTAAAATTTTGTAGGGAGATTTTGTACAAATAAAGACACCCTTTTGTGGTGTTATTCTCTGTGGTTTTGCTTTTTTTTTTTTCTTTTTTTTCTTTTTTAATGTTAATCTAAACTTGGAAAGGAAAAATGAAGACAGGCAGACAATTGTGTGTTGATTAGATTGTGAATGTGATGAAACTATGAAGAAAAAATTGATGATGGATGATGACAGAGCCAACAACCATGTGTGGTGGTTGGATGTTAGTCACGCTGTAGCTTGATTAGGTACTAAAGTTCGAGGATTTAGGGTGCTTTCATAGCCCCTTTGGACCACAACCATGTGAGGGAGGAATTTGCCATAGAAGATTTTTCATTTCCTGGTAATAAGTTCTGACATTGTACTTGGGTAGAAACCAAACAGCGTTGAGCATTGCTAGAAACTGGGAGGAGTTTGCAGTTGAGTCTGAACGATTGGCTTCTATACATTCAAACTCTACTCACCAGAAACCTCTGCAAGAACAATGTCCATCCTTAAAATGGTGAAATCGATTGGAATCTCTAAGCACAATCTCCCTCCCGGTTTCCTTGGAAATGAACTTGGCCATCTCATGGCAATCACCACACACTCTCAGGTTCTTGGTTACTCGAATGGTTTTGCCTGGGGGAACATTTAACAATCCGAAAGTCATGGCCAATTTTTCACTATGCCCACAGAGAGCAATTTCTTTCTGCATGTCATCTGCATTAATCAAAGCACACTTTGTTTTAGGAAAATAGCCTTCTTCCTTCATCTTTTTCCTTAACTTCTTCAACAGAGACTCTATCTTCTTGGTTTCTGGATGTGAACTGTCTCCTGAAACAAAGAGATTGACTTTGCCCTTGATCTCTATCCAACTACATCCTGGGTTCTTTTTCAGGCCCCGATGACCGATCTTCTCCCTCAGTTTCTTCACCTCCTCCCACTTTTCTGCTTCAGCGTAGATATTGGCTAGAAGTATATAGTATCCAGTGTTCTCTGGTTCTAACTCAAAGACTCGCTCTGCCACTTTCTCTGCTAATTTAACATCATGGTGAATCCTGCAGCCACAAAGCAGAGCTCCCCAAACCGTGGCATCTGGTGCAATTGGCATCGTTTCAATGAATTTATATGCCCTCAACAGATTACCAGTCCGAGCAAGAAGATCCACCATACAGGCATAGTGTTCTAATTTTGGCTCGATATTGTAATCATTTTTCATTGTATCAAAGAAGCTCCATCCCTCCTCTAGTAATCCAGAATGACTGCAAGCATACAATATAGAGGTGAAGGATACTACATCAGGCTTGATTCCTGCTTCTCTCATTTTGTTGAAGGTAGCAATAGCTTCATTCCCAAATCCATGCATCCCATAACCAGCAATCATCACTGTCCACGAGACCAGATCCTTGGAGGGAATCATGTCAAAGAGTAAACGCCCAAAAACCAGTTCGCCACATCTAACGTACATGGAAACCAGTGCATTGGCAACATACGGATCAGAAGAATATCCATTTCTCAATGCATAACCATGGATTTCTCTTCCTCTCTCTAATGAGGCTAGGCTGCCACATGCAGGAAGAATACATACCACTGTTATGACGTCTGGCTTCAGCTCTTGCAGCATTGCAGTAAAAAGCTCAAGAGCTTCATTTGGAAGACAATTCTTTGAGTAACCTCCTATCATGGTATTCCAAGAAATGATATCCTTCACAGGCATTCGTCTGAACACATCATTTGCATCCTCCATACTTCCACATTTAGCATACATATCCATGAGAGCATTGGAAACAGACAGATCTGACTCCATATTGCTTTCTATGACATACTTGTGTAATTCCTTTCCATTCTCCAATGATCCATTACAAGCAAAAGCATGAAGAATACTTGTAATTGCAACTCTATCAGGTTTAACACCTACCATTACCATTTCATGGAACAATCTGATGGCTCCATCAAAATGAGTTTCTCGGGCATAACCTGCCAGCATTGAAGTCCAAGATACAACATTCCTCTTATCCATCTTCTCAAAAACTCTTAGGGCACCATCAAGATCTCCACATTTTGAATACATATCCAATAAAGCATTGTTAAATATGATATTCTTATCAAAACAAACTTTTACTCCCAAAGCATGAACAGCTTTACCCAATGAAATAGACCCACAATCAACACAACCAGCCAGAACACTGACCATGGTTGCCAAATCCACATCAACTCCCAAACACAGCATCTCTTTGAAGACAGCAAACCCTTCATCAGCCAGACTATTTGTCATATACCCACTTATCATGGAATTCCATGATATGACATCTCTGTCACTCAATTCATCGAACAGCTTACGTGCACTCTCGATTCTTTTAAACCTGAAGTAGAAAGAGATTAGAGAGTTCACAGCCCTATTGTAAATGCCAAAACCCAACTTCAAAAGGTACCCATGAACGCATTCACCAAGCTTCACACTTCCTGTAGCAGCAAAGCATTTCAGAACACAAGAAAACGTGAAAGAGTCCACTTCAATGCCCCTTTCAATCATTACCTTGAACAAGTAAATACTCTCCATAAAGTCCCCAATCTTTGCATACTCGTTCATCATCATATTCCACAGAAAAACCTTTTCATTGTCGATCTTATCGAAAATCCTCCTTCCTTCTTTTAAATCTCCGCAAGTTACATACATAAAAACAAGCTTTGAACCCAAAGTCCTGTCGACCATCTCACCATTGGAACTAATAATGGAATGAACTTTTATACCGTCTTTTAGCGATTTCAAATCAGCACATAGCTGTAGAACCGAACGGTAGGTTTTCGAAGTAATTTCAGATTTCTGAGACGTGCAAAGCAATTCCATGGCATTTCTAAGATCACCCAATTCGCAAAATTTGAAAATTTCGGTATTAGAATCTGTAACTTTATGATCGATGGCTTCCATGGTTGAGGCAGAGGCATTAATGGCGGCAGAAGAACGGTGGGAAAAGCCAGATAAAGGAGTGATTTTTGAACTGGGTATGTTGATAAATCGACCATTTTGAGAGTTGAAAATTTCATCCTTATGCCTTTGCTTATGATTTAGAAGAGGAAAGCACATGCTTGGTGCGGTTACAGCCATGAAAATTGAAAAACAGGACCTCTATGCCTCTTCAAGGTGAGAGCCTGAGAGTTTATTAGGCGGTCAGCAATGAAAGACAATTTTTTCCCCCCTTTTTCTTTGAGCACGTGCATACCAAAGAAAGGAATGGAAGAGTTCTCTTTATTTTTTTCTTGAAACTTAAAAGCACAAGAGTCGTGCGCAATGGCCATAAATTGTGTAATCTAATGAGCAATCTCATTATAAATCAGTTTAAAGTCTGCATTCTATATAAATAAGTTTGAAGTCTGTATTCATGTAGAGCCAGCTGGGAATCTGAGATTTTGCAAAGAACAAATGGCCACTGCAGCTATATTTCAGTCTCTCTGTGGAAAAACCATTTTCTCGCTCAGTGGTAATGCCTTTGCCTCAATCTCTAAACTTTGCATGATCATCATTTCTTCTCGCAGAATTGTTAAGCAACGCATCTATTGTTATGGATGCTATCTAGTTTTGGGTTTTGAATCTTTTCATGGTTTTAGAGGCAGACCCATTACGAAAGGAATCAGAAAACAGTATATTAAGGTTTATATTACTTAGTTATAAGGATTATCGTATGTTTCTCGAACTTCGGTTTCACCGGGGGTGCTCAATTTAACTAGTGCCTATTCATAGATGATGCCCAAAAGTATAAATGCAGAATATTGATTTTGATTTCAATTATCATCTGCTTTCAAAAACAAAGTAACCTAAAACAATTAAAAGCCCAAAGAAACAATAATTAAGATTATCCCAAACTGATAACCATAAATCTTGTTCAGCCAAATTGTAACTGATACACAAAACAAATCAAATGGCATATAGCAAAATTGAAGAATGTTGTAAGAGATATATCTAAGAACCACTAATAGTTTGTGACTTGTTGAGGATGACACCTTCATATTTGACCTGGAACCACTTCATGGCATCCTCCTTGGTAACTCTGTGCTGGATTCCAACACGTGACTTGCATCTGCGACGACGACCAACACGGTATCCAGGGCGCTCAAGAACAACATAGAAGTCCATACCATAGATACCAGTTGAAGGATCATACCTGAAAGGATATACAATTGTAAGCTATACATCAACCTGGTCCAACTGTATGGTGAAGGATCATGGACAACGCCAACAAGATCTACTATCAAGTTGTGTCATTCAACAAAAAGTAGCAAACACTAGAACATTAAGTTTGGATAGACCATGAAATGGTATCTGCACATTGCGAGGCATCAGCTGAACATTACATCTAACAAGAGGGCCAAAGCCAAACAGAATAGTTCCCACCAAGTTAATGACATTGCTGGGATTAGATTGCTCAGCAAAGCAGCTGCATCAATAGACACTAACATGCTACAACAGACCTCTGAAATTAAACCAAAAACAATCCTAACAAGCAAGTTTGCCCTGCCTCCCAAGTAGACTTATCAATTATTGATCTCTCCATGACCTAACCCAAACCCAACAAGTCATTTCAAAACTCTAATTAAGATCAATGCACAATCTCCAACATCATTGGCATGACAATAGAAGCTCTACTTGGAGATCCCATCGTTTCACATCAGGATCAAACATCCATCACCTATCCCCTCTTTAGCACATAAAAACCAACTACAGCTCAAGAATTAAATCCTAAAATCACTTCATTTCGACTACCATTATTTAGAACATAATCCTGAGGACACTCAATACACAAACACATAAATAGAAGACATATTAACAATATAAAAAAGGATATTAACAATTAGTTATACTACATTATAAAATCAGATCTGACTTAACAATTAGAAAACAGGCAAGATTTAAAAAGCACTCACTTAATGCCAAGATCAATATGCTCCTGGATACCGAAGCCAAAGCAGCCGGTATCACTGAAGTTCCTCCTCAAGAGCTCATATTCCTTCACCTTCAACCCGCTCTCCAGAAGCTGCATTGCCTTCTCACCCCTCACAGTAACATAGCAAGCAATTTTTTCATTACGCCTGATACCGAAAGACCTAACAGTATACCTAGCTGCTCGCGCAAACACAAATATTCGTTATTATTAAAGGAAAAAAAAAAAAAGATCGTTTAGGCATTGATGGAATCTGATTCCGATTCTGTACCCTTGGAGAAAACAGGGGTTTGGCCGCTGAGTTGTTCCAGGACCTTGGCGGCACGAGTGAGACGATCGCCACTTTCACCGACGGAGATGTTAAGGACGAGCTTCTGCACCTTGATCTCCCTCATTGGGTTTGAGAGCTTCCTCTCCGATGCCTGTTTAACATTCGCAAAAAAATTTAGAAAAAAAAAAAAAATCAATCGATAAGACTGGAAAATAAACATTTACAGAAGCATTCCTGGATCCTGAAGAGATATGTTGCTGGAGAAACTCACCATGGCTGTGTAATGGAGGTTGAGACTGGAGTGCAGCGGAGAAGAAAGGAGGGGCAGGGTGGAGGGAGGCCAAGGGGGGATATATAAAAGAGCGACTTTGAGGGCGTTAGGGTTTTGCGATTGACTAATTGACATAAATGCCCTTAATTACTGCATATTATATTATATATAAAATGACGAAACAGAGAGCGCCAAAAGAACTTCCGTTGCCGGGACTCGAACCCGGGTCTTTCGGGTGAGAGCCGAATATCCTAACCAACTAGACTACAACGGATTTGTTAATAATAATTTCAAAAATTATTTAAAAATTACACTGTTAAGAATTTTGCAGCTAAGTTTCTATCTTGTTTTCTTCTAAGTACGATAACATTAAAAAAACAAAATCATTTTGCAATTTAAAGTATACTAAACTATAAACTAATAACTTTTAAATTGAGAAAAGTCTCTTAGAGCATATTTGGGTTAACTTCTTGGACTTTCAGCTTTTTAACACTATTTATATTTCATAAATTTAAATTTTTCTCTTAAAAATTTACATTTTTAAATTTTATTTTAACTTTAAAAAGATCATAAACATTAAAAATTCAAAAGTTTTAAATTTTTATTTTTTATAAACTTTCGTTTTACTCACTTTTTCTTATATTTAAAAAAAATTAAAATTTTCTCTCCAATAAAAATTTAAACTTATCACTTATAAATAATAATAAAAAACAAAAACTCAAAAAAGTTAAATCAGATAAGTCCTTAATATTAAACACTCCTCCTTAAATCTAACTACTCTGATTTTGTAGTTTAATATTTAAATTATAAAATAGAAAATCTAATAACATTTATGGCTTGTTTGATTTAAAAGAACAAGAGGAGAGATGAGCCATCAAATTAAATCATTCTACTAATAAAATAATTTGATTTGTTATACCATAATCTTTTACCTATTTTATTTCTCTCAAATTAAACATGCTTTTAACCTTTTCTAGTCATATCTACTTGTTGTTTTGTTCCAAGGCTCCTTCATTGAAGTTAGGAGTGGCCAAGTAAGAGATCAAGCCTGCCATTTAAATTTTAAGTTGCTTATTCCCTAATCCAACATCCCTAAGATTGCTTTCTTAGGTGCATTCACGCAAATTAAATACTACTTTTAAAAAAAAAAAACCAGATATAATCCTAAGAATGCAAAATCTCTCAAACTAGTACAATTAGTGGCCTATACTTCACCATGATTGTTTCTCTGGTGAGGTTGAGTCACTCAAGCTGTTGAACTGAAACGGAAAAAGAACTGATGTGCCAAGATTTCTTTATTGTTATGTAAAAGTATGTATTGGCAGAATCTGCAAGGGAATTCCCAAATGTTCTGAGACAACTTTAGATCCAATACAGGTGAAAACATGATGTAGCCTGATCAATCCTGGTCTAACCTCTAATCTCTATATATGCTGACAAGGTGAGCAACCAAATAATAATTCAAACCAGTAACAACTATTGCAACAAAGTAATAGAAGTTGTTCGAGATGGCAACTTATGAGAGCTGCAGCCTCAAGTCTACTCTTTAGGCTGAAGAAGGATGACTCAAAGTATGTCTAAACAGACATTTTCCCCACATAACAGCCTTCTAAGTAGCTTCATTGACTGCATCAAATGTACACAAATGCTATTGTTGCACCAGCTGTGTGAAACAGGCATGAAATGGTGATGCACGGAAGAAACGTTAAGGCTGATTCACACGCTACTAGAACATACTTACACGAAAGAACCATGGCAGTACAAATGCTATTACCAGACAAGCCATCAGGAAGTTACAGAATGGCTGTCCTCGCCAACACCCCCCACCTCTATCTGGTGAGTTACTAACACCAAGGGTGTATCTTTGTTCATTCCATTCTTCCATAAATCTGCTATCTCCGACACCAGTAACATTTTTGGCATGCTCACCACAAATTTCACACAGCCTGCAAAAGTAATGTGAGATTTTAAGTGTGAATGAAGAACCAGGCTTTGCTAGAAAGTAATTACACATAGATGTGTCTTCTTGGCCAGTGTTTTGAGCTAGATGGAATTAAAAATATAGAACCTAGCCAAGAAACAGATGGCTACTGTAAAGCAATAAGCAAACAGACGCCCCACTTAGCACCAAAATTCCCTGTTCATTTTCAATGTCTACATGGATTGCAGATATGTGGGACAGATAATTGCAATTACAATAAATAAATGTCTATATGAGATCAATTCACATGAATACGCACATAAATAAACAGGGCAGGCATTCTCTAACCACCATGTGAGACAATTTGTTAATGCACCTGTGATGTTCAACCTTTATAAATCCACAAATCAACACACTAGCAACAAAAGCAGGACAATCCTACTTGATGTTGCCACAAATATATGGAGGAAACTTGGAAAACCAATCCTTACGCATCAAAGGGGAACATAATATTATTCATTCTATATTTGGAGATTAACAATGGAAATTAACTATAACAACAGGTGGGATTATTAATGTTGTTGGCACCAAACCACAATTTCAGTAAGAAGCCAAACCCTACAGCTCTCATCAATATTGAAGACATTAGGATATAAGCAGATAGCAAATTCTAGTGAACATCAACAGGAGAACATATAGAAGGCAAATACTAGAACTTCATTTTCAAAAGAGAACATATACCTGTTTCCTTTTAACTTAAACCATGCTTCAGCACAATGAATATGTGCAATTCCTAGCTCATCTTTGCAACCACAGCCAAGTTGCATCAGATCTGTTGCAGCAGTAGCAGTAGTTGAAGTACTACCAGCACATTCCAGTGATTGATCTGAACTCAAATGACAAATGCGACAAATCCTTTCCCCATCAGAATTCTCCCTAAATCCTCTTCCACCACTGACACCACCCTTTATGTCAATCACACAAGAGTTGTCTGCTTCAGCAATCTTTGACTTTGGCTTTTCCACCAATACTTTACTTGAACCAAGTCCATTGCCTTTCACTTTTGATACTCCTCCACCCGCACACACTGCCTCTTGTGTGTTAATCACAATAACCATCTCAACCACAGATTCATTTGGTGAATTATTCGAACTGCCATGACTTCCCTTATCAACTTGGCCTGTTATCTCGTTAATTGCTCTCTCAACAGGCCTGTCCTGAATCATAACTCCGTGTCTTGCTTCCATCAATGCCTCACTTGATCCCCCTTCATAGCTTTTTACCATGACAGCCCCATTCTCCTTACTCATGCATGAATTTTCTTGAGAGTCAATTACAATAGCATTCTCCAACACATTAGCATGAACTGAATTACTTGAATCGCCCCTAATTCCTTGATCAACCTGATTCAATGGTTCACCAATTCCACTCTTACAATGCATCAGATCGTTGTTTCTCAATCTTAAATCTGCTTGTTCTCCAATAACATGCACATCTTCTTCACAACTCACCATATTACCAGACTTGAGCTTTGGATTTTCACAAGTTCCTATATCAACTTGACCAAAACCATCATCATTTCCTCTCCCTTCCCCTCTATCTTTTTCCATTAATCTCAAAAAAATCTAAAACCAAAATGAAAATGAAAACTTTCCTCTTCCCTCAGAATATTAAAAACCACCGCAAAATCTACACATTCAACTGAAAGCAACAATTTTGAAAGCAATTTCAATACCAAATCCAGGCCATGAACACAGCAAGCACCTCAAATCCAGAAACAATCAATTTCATACTCGTATGCCAGCCCCAACAAAATTCAAAACATAATCACAAAGATCAATATTAACGATGGTAAATTGGTAATTAGCCCTTAATTACCTCCAACCCAAAAGAACCAATCTTTGATTTCTTGCAGACAAACCCAGATTCCAGATCTTTAAAAACTCCATAAATCACTTCAAACCCACGCAACAGTTTCATTAAAAAAAACCGCTGGTAGAATAAAAGCGTTTACTTTCCCATATAAAACCCAATAAAAACTACACAAAAGAGATCAACTCCGAAATGGGTTCTTCCCAATTTTCAGCTACACCGGTAGCCTCCACCTACATATGATAGGACGTTGCTTAGCTAAAGATCTGTCGTGTGAATGTGATTAGGTGGAGAAAGGGAAAAATTAAATAGTACTGAACAAAAGAGAGGATTATCCGTACTACTTTAATAACACTTGGAAGTTACTTCTATTTTATTGGGGGGAAGACAAAGGGAGACAGTGAGGCTGCTACGCAAAGTAGGCGTGGCGACCAGCGAAGCTATTGGGGAGGACTCGGTTTCTAATGGGTAGAAAAATCTATAACCACCGTAGCATTGATTTTTCAAGATAAATCACAGGACTTTTTCCTTGCAGTAGTATATCTAGGAATCCAAGTTATCCTTATCCTTTGTAAAACTTGAATTCATCATCCATACACTATTAAGTACTGTATATCTTTTTTAAGTTTTAACTTTTAATTAGTGGTGTTTAAATTTTAAAAAAAATAATAAGTAAAAATATGTGGTCATGATATTTTTGTGATTTCTTATAAAATTATTATTTAAATATATCACTAATAAATAAATTATAATTTATTTATTTAAATTTTTTATTTTTTATTTTTAATAAATAAAGTTTATCATAAATTTTTAGGTAAAAATAATTATTTTTAATAAATATCAATAAATCTTAATTATTAAAAATAAAAAAATAAATAATCAAGATTTTATGTGTATGATATATAAAATTTATATATATAGTGAATCATTACTCTTAATAAACATTTTTTGTATATTAATTTACGAGAAAAGAAAAAATTTAGATGTTTAATATTAAAAATACGAAAATATTTAATAATAATTACATGATAAATTTGATAAAATTATAATTTATAATATATCTCATATATTTAATAGTTATAATTAGATATATATTTCATATATTTAGTGATTATAATTAGATATTCTAATATTTTCACTATCAAGACATTCTGCGTTTCCTCTTTCTCTTGATTTCTTAAGAACATTTTAATTTTTTATTATGATATATTGTTTTTTAATGGATTGAATGTTTTTATTTTTGGTAAAAATATGATATAAGGACCTAAACTTGAACAAAATTTTCAATTTAGACCCAAACTTCAATTGCACTCAATTAAGATCTCAAATTACATGAAATTCTCAAATAATGTCTCAATTAAATGAAATATTCTCTTACTAGATGAAATATTCTCTTACCATCAAATGTCTTAAATGCCTGTTAACTGTTTGTAACTTTCTCAACCAACTGGATTACCACATAAAAAAACATGTTGACTTGTCATTGTCACATGGATGCCACATGAATGCCACTGGTGGATCCCAATTGCTCGAGGAAAATCCCACCAATAGAAATCATGTGGCATCCATGTAGCAATGACAAGTGAGTATGTTTTTCATGTGGCAATCCAGTTGGTGAGAAAGTTAACCTCCATCAAAGACATTTGATGGCAAGAGAATATTCTATCCAATTGGGATCTTATTTAAGAATTTCATATAATTTG